AGAGAGAGAGAGAGAGAGAGAGGAGAAAGTGCGTCCAAATTGTTTGGAGCGGATCAAGGCGAGCCGCCTTTTGCTTCACTTTCTTTATCTTAATTCCGACTTGAAAAGATATAATTATCTAGTTTGAACAGAGCTGCTATCAAATCCTTCTTTAGGCAGGGAAGGGGGAAACTGGAGTGGGCTGCAGTGTTCTGAGCCGCTCGGTGGAGCCTGAGATAGCGAGTAATGAAGTTGTGGAGTCCTCAGATACAAAGGGCATTAACCTCATTAGCATGAAACCTTTTCTTCTAGCCATTGTGGGACTCTTTCAGACTCCTAATCCCCCTATTTTCAAAGCTGGGTTTGTAATAAAGCTTTTAGGGGTTTTTCCCCCCCAAAGCTAATAGCATTCTCTGAAGATTTTATTGCTGTTACGCTACATAGGACGCTTAATTCCTCACCCCCCCCTTCTTTCTGTCTCCCTCTTTCTTTTTTTCCCCCTTTTGCAGTTTAAGGGAAGAGGGGGAGAGTGTGTGTGTGTATGCGTGTGTGTAATATAATATATGTGTGTGTGTATAAGCACGCACACGCAGATATATAAGTATACGCACAAAGAGACACATCGACCCATACACACGTGCGTATATATTCAAGAAAGAAAGAAAAAAGGGAAGCGCTCTTGCGTTCTTCAGAAGTAAGTCTTAGAAAGGAAGTAAGACCCGGATGAAAAACAATTTGGACTAATAAAGCCACAGCCTAGAAAATACACGGATTTGGGCTTCTCCTCCCCGCCCCCGCTTATTTGTTTCTTTGAAGGTAGGATTGGGAGAAGATGGTTAACGTTGCTGAAAACAAATCCGTTGCCTGCCTTATTTCGAAGGACGTTTTAAAAGGGGGAGGGGGAGAGAAACGGTTAAAAAGAAAAGAAGTTTACCTTCGGAGCGCGGCGCCTGGCTCTCGAGTGGAAAGCGGTGGGGGCGAAAAGGGAGCTGATTTTTTCTCTGGGTACCTATTTTAAACTGCTCTGAGAGGAAAGTCACTCATTAGGATCCGAAGGAGGAGAGATTTATTATTTTTATTTTTATTTTTTTTAAAAAAATCTCTCTCTTAAAAAAAAAAGCAGAAGAGAAAAGAAGCTGACCGGACCTTTTAAACCGAATTTCCATAGTGCGCTAACTACAGTGGGTGGACAGCACGTGCGTGGAATGTCTAATCTGAACTTTTCAAGGCAGGTTGTTTAACAAAGCTGGTATTTTCGCAACGCATTGTAACTTCGCCTTATCACAGTGTAAAGGGTAGTCAGATTGTCCTAAATTATGTCCAGCGAGCCCCCCTGGATCCACGGATTAAGAGATTAAAGGAGACCACTGGGCAATGGCTCCTCTTTCCCCCTTCATATTCCTGGTATGATAATTGCCTAAACTGATTTGCACTTCCACAAAAAAGTCTTTGTAGCTAGAACACTGCAGACGAGGTTTGCGCTGTCAATGGGAAGAAAACTGATTAATGCAGCCTATCAGGCTAAGGAGCAAATGAAGCATGAATTAATTTTTTTTAGAGGGGGGGCTGTACCCCCAGAGAGCCAGCTAGCTTCCTCAAGGGTTAGGGAAAAACTTTTTGCCCCTTTCCTACTAAAGTTGGCTACCCTCCCTTCCCTTTAGAAAGACACTCACCCTCCCTCGAACATATAAACAATCAGACTAAAAGTTGTTTAAAAAGAGACATATTGTAGAGATCATAAATAAAATTTGTCACTCCACAACAGTGAAAGGCCTAATTTTACCACTACATCTTAGTTTTACTCACCGATCCTGGCAAACACACACACATACTGGAATCTAAAGCGGGAGCTCTTAAAAGCAAATTCCACTAAGTTCAAGGAGCCTTACTCCCAAAGAAGTGTGACTAGAATTGTGGGAAGGAAATATGGGCTGGTTCAAGCTGGCTTTACTTCCAAAGGTTTAAAAATTAGCACTGAGAGACAGAAGTGGGCACGGGGGTGGGGGTGGGGTGGGGGAAATATCTTAAAATGACATTTTGTCAGTGAAAGTGAAGTCACACTGACTCCCGAGGGGACCTGCTCTCAAATTAAGGCATGGCTTGACTTAGATTTCAAATGAAATGGGTCATGGTTCAAATAGCAAATGCATCAACAATCCATTTAGACTCTCAAACAGACCAACCCTAAACCTAGAAGGAAATTCACGTTCAACAGTATTTAAATTCTATTGCTTCGATGCCAGTGTGAGACTTATTCTATTTCACAGAATAATGTCCACATACCCAAGTCTGCCCTCATGTGTACGCTCACAAGAGACACTTACCTAATCCTGACATTTTCCTTCCTATATGTGTATGCACTTATACAAAACTTCCACACCTCTTTATCAAATTCTCATATTTTTGGAGGTACACTTATATATACTGGTGCACGTACACACAAGTGTACCAGTATGAAGCAGAATGTGAGAAAATATTTCCATATGTTTGCCCATGGAATGAACATAGTAATAATAATATATCTGAGACTCAATACGACTTTATACACTTAATGCTTTGTTCCCCTTTTATTGAAATGTCTTGGCTTTAATCCAATAATTAGCCCCAACTAGAGTGTACCCACTGAATCAATTCAATCTATCCAAGTGGTGATCTACCAACTTCTCATTGGAAATGACTTCATGCATCCACTCTTGATGGAACTGAGCATGAGATTTAAGACCTCACTGGGAACAGCTGATTGATAGAAGCATTCAATATGGGGCATGAACTGTGAAGTCTAGTGGGAAGTAGGTGGGTGGGGGTTGGGGTGGCAAATTAATTTACTAGGTGGGAAAAAGTTGCTTAAAATTGTTAGGCCATGTTGATAAATCTTTATTGACAAAATATTGACATTGAGATACTTCTTGGAAGTATATAGAGTGTTAGAATTCTAACAAATTAAACACAAAACACGAAAATATTTACATTCTGGTAAAGAAGACAGTAAGGAAACATTTGTTGTTTTAGTAGCTCTATAATCTTGGAACATCAACAATCACCATCAGTGCTTGAAATATGTCCCCAGGAAGAAGGGCCCTGGATCAAGCCCTCTCCAACCCTGCAGGCCCTCCCAACATGTTGGGCTACAAGTCTCCATAATCTCCAACCCACAATGACTGTGCTGGTTGGTTGATGGGATATGTAGTCAAACATATCTGGAAAGCTCCAGATTGAAGAAGATTCAAAGGAGTGGGAGGGGATTAAACGATAACAAAAGTTTTTAAATGGGGACTGTTGTTTTTTTTGTAAGTCTCTTTCTGTGTGTGTTTTTGCAGCAAAAGTGATAAGGGTTCCCTGCCCTGCCCTCAACCCAACTTTTTTTTTCATCAAAGATTTATCCATTCGGGGGAGCAAATAATAATAATAATAATTAAAAAATAATAAAAATGACCAAAAATAAAAAATTAACAAATTAGAATTTGTTACCGCTACTTCATTGAGTTTTCACAACCACGTTGACGCCAGAAGTTATCATAAAAAGGTTTACAGACTGCACAGTTTCTCGTAAAATAAATTTAAAAAGCACACAGAACCTGTTCGGGGGAGGGGGGGAGTTCAGTTCACGTCTGCCTGTCTTTAGCAATCGGGCTTGACGTTTTTTTCAGAGCCCTACACCCTTCTTCTTTGCCCTCCCGCAAGGTCTTTTTGGAAGAAGAAGAGGGGGGAGGAGGAAAAAAGAAAAAAGAAGAAGAAGAAGAAGCATGCAGTTCAAGTTTCTGGAACAGGTGTGTCGATTTTGGCTGGGTGTGGAATTTCTTTTCCCAACGTCTGGGAGAAAAATCTGAATTATTATTAACAACAACAAATCCTTCCTGCAGTGCAAAGTGTCCTGTACGGTACTGCGTGAGCGTGCGTGCGTGCGTGCGTGTGTGTGAATCTTCTCCTTTGAAATCTGGACTGATTTGATTTTGAATCCCGAGAAACAGAATATTTGTCAATCACGCCTTCGCGGTAGTTTGGCTTTGATTGACAGATCTCTCTCCCCCCTCCCCCTTTTGTACCAGCGCAGGAGGACCAGCATGGCCCCTACAGCTTAAGACTGACTTCCCGCTAACTGGCCGCCGGGTTCCTCCTTCTCGCCTCTCTCGGCTGCCCCTCGGGAAGGAGACTCGCCTCGGGTGATCGCGATCAAACCGATTCCTGTCCGCCGCCCTGCCACGCCACCACTCACTTTCCCGAGGTTGTCACGAGCCTTTTAACACTTGCGTTGTTCGTGGAAAAAGTCTTTTCTTTTCTTTTTTTTAAGTGCCAGCTTGGAGCGTTACTTCTTTTCTTTTTCTTTCTTTCTAGCTTTCGGTTTTGTTTTTTTTTAAAAAAGGGGGGTGATTTAAATTTAATCATCTGATGTGACGTCGATTTCTTCCGGACTGGCTTGTTTGGTGGCGATCCTCCACCGGTTAATATGATGGGTCCCCTTTTTCTTCTGTTGCGAGTCCGAACCTTCTTCTTCCAACTTCTGACGTTTGAACTTTGTCCGTCGATTTTGAAACCAAACTTTTACCTAGAGAGACGGGAACAACAGGCTACCATTAGCTCCCTGTAAATACTCATAATCACCCCCGACTTATCCCCCCAAAACCTTCACGGTGCGTGCATAGGCTTCCCACCGCCCCATGGGAGCGTTTTCTGTGCCTTTAAAGGGTGCAGTGCAGGTTGGAGGGAGGCTGTTAGAAAACCATTAAGCCGAATAATACTGGGGCGAGCCTCCCTAAGATTATGCAAGTTAAACGTGTCTGCCTTATATAAAGCAGGAGGGGTGGACGTCAAGCGGTCTGCTATGTTTTTAAAAATCCAAAAGCTCGCGGTTTTGTTTTGTTTTTTATATATATATAATCAGGGAATTGCTTAAATTGAGAATAAACATAGAATAAAATAATTCTGAGCTCAGGAATTTGTTCTGAGTATCAGAATTAAACCAAGTCGGTCGTTCTACACAAACCTCCACTGGCGATTAAGACAAGTATTATTCATTTTTAGAACATGTATGCTCCGCGTGTGCGTTTAAATGTTCACCTACAATTTTTAAGGGGTAGCGGAGGAAGTCATGATATTGTAAACCTCCTGCCTCTCCAGAACTCTCTCCCCAAAATAGATGTTAATCAACAGGATCAAATATACACAAAACAAGCTTCCAGAAAGGTACCCACGAGAGCTATTATAAAGTACGAACCACTCCTTCAAGCACCTGGCTTCCAGCCTCTAAACAAAATATACCTTGCATATTATTAGGGCATTTCCTTCCGAGCAACGTCCACTAAGGCTGCCGTTCTGTGTTAAGTCAATGAGAATTCAGCAGAAGTTACTTCCGAGTAACTATAAGCAAGATCCCGTGGTACTGGTACCGCAGGATCCTCCTTCTGCGGACATGCCACGTGACCTGGCAGAGCCATCCTAAGCCTGTTTACTCTGACATCTTCCCGTCAACATAAGGGGAGCTTACTCCCAAGTAAATGCGCCTATTTTCTGTATAAGATTGCTTCCAGCCTTCCCACCAGCGCCCTCACCACCTCCAGCATTTCAGGCAATGCGATAGCTGACGATCCTTCGCATGCGCCGTGGGAAGTGAATCCCATAGAAAATAATGGGACTTCCTGTTGCTTAGGAAGACAATGCTAGGATCAAAGGCAATCTCATTGGCTTCACGGGAGCTAACCTCCTGCCTCTCCTGGAACTCAGTTAAGCCGCAGTAATTGGGGTTTAAGACTAATCCCCCACTTTAAGCACAGTCCTTGGAAGTATGCCCCCATTGATTTCAACTTAGGAGTGCAGCTTTTCAGTCCGATTCTCCACTCATTTGCCACATTAAATTCCAGCTGAAATCAATAGGGCTCCTGTCCCCAGGAAAAACATTTAGGATCATACTGCCAAGAGGTTGACAATGCATGGGCGTTCAGCTACGCTGTGGATCGCACCAAGGGACTGGATTCTGAATTTAAAAGGGAAAATGGAATTGGGGCTTTCTCTTGTAGTCCCGCTACAAATACGTAACCCTATATGTGTAACATATGCAGGGGCTGCGACTCCCCACTTTTACTTCACCATACTCCCATTAAGGCCAGTCCAAATGCATAGGAATATCCAGACCACGACCTTGAGAACAGGGGACCTGCAGCCGGCTCTAAGCAGTCTCTCTCTTTTCCCTCCCAGAAGAACGCTTTATTGTAGGCCGCAGTTCCTGCAAGCAAGCCCCCTTGCTTTTAACTCAATTTACTGCCAAGTCTGTTCGCTGGGCTTTCTAGGCTTACCTCCCAATCCTAAACCGCCAAATGATCGCAGAAATGAGCCCGTCGAGTCAGCTGAGACTTAAGTCCACGCAAGCGGTGAATAATATCGCGATATGCAAATACGGCATCGACGTTCAGAGGTATCCCAATGAACAAGTGTACGTGCATTCCATATGGAGACTTCCGTATGTTTGTTAATTGAGATCCACGGTATAAATCAAGCTGACACTTGTGTTTAGGAAGCGTCTGGCTGACAGAAAGCGGAGGGAAAGTGAAATGTGCACTTTGCTACTTCGCGGCGCTGGAGTCTATATATTGCTAATTACAAGGAAAAGGTCACCCATGCTATTACACTACAGGGGTACGTGTGTTTTAGACGCACCGCATGCGTTCCAAGCTACTTTGCTGTTACTAGAGAATCTCTTGCACCTACGAATCTTTCACACGCGCCTGTACCTGAATCTCTCCTCTCGAATACACGTATTTAATCTCTTGTACAGATCTATGAAACTCTTGTCACTGGCACTTTGAATAAGATGTTCGAAAGTGAACTCTATTATCAGTTTAAATGTTTTAAATTTTAATCGTGCAACAGCTTTAAAAACAAATAGTAGAAAACACTGACCCGGACTTCAGGTTGCCATCTTTATCTCCAAATATTTTTATACAGACGGTTCCTTTATTGTGAAGCACTTCTTGCAACTGGGCCATCAGAAGGCGTGGACAGATAGCAGAAGTGTGCACCTATTTTTGCACCGCTGCCTGGGGAATTCTGGGAGTTGTAGTCCAAAATCACAAAGAAAAAACAAAAGCCACTTCGGCATTTAAGAGAAAGTAGAAAGGGATTTCTGGCTCGACTTCAGAGAGTTCAGCCAGATTTCGGATTAATTTACGAAATATCTTCTTTTTAAATTTGGCTGAGGGGACTGCTCAGCCTTAATTAAAAATAGTAAAGGGGGGCGAACTGAAGAGAGACTTTAATTAAACAGGAGGCTCGAATTCTGCTGGCTTTTAATAGACGGTTCTTTTGTACCGGGCTTTTCTTTATTATCAAAGGAACTAGACGGGCATATTTCGCTGTGTAGATAGATAGATAGATAGATAGATAGATAGATAGATAGATAGATAGATAGATAG